ACCATGCTTGTATTTTATATAATATTTTTTTAATTACTTTTAAAATAAAAATTTTCTTAATAAAATTATGAGCAAACAACCCTAGACTTCAACAGTTCAATGACATCACCGCATCTGAGTTCATAGTAAATAATAAGGTGCATGGAAATTCCACCTAGCAGATCAATGGGTTACGCGCCTCAATGAGGGAGGTGGAATGTTCATTAAATTTGGGGATCGAATCCTCAATTATTAACAACTAATAACACTAACCTACTAACCATTGTTCTTGTCAAAAATAATAATAATAATAATAATAAGGTGCATGTGTATTCACAATCTCCCTATTCTGAATATCAAAAGAAAAAATTAAATGAAAGAAACTTGCATGCTTGATGTTGGGCCTGGCTACTGTCTAGGATAAACCGTTTTCCTTTAGTTGGTAAATTTAATTGACGAGCTATGGGCTAGGATTCTATGGGCTAAAACCCAACATCAGTGTATCAGTCTCCATCAAACAGAACAAAGAGTAAGAACATTTTCTCATCTGGCAAAGGCCTAAGCCCTACCTTATTAATTGGGCCTCGGTCCAGCTTGTAGATTTACTCAAAAAAAAAAAAAATCTCATTGTTGGATTAATTAGTCTTGAAGATTAAAAAAAAACAAAAACAAAAGACAGACGTTATATCTATTTTAGTGCAGCATCAATACTAAAATAGGTAGACCGAAGGTAGAGTTCATTTACTTATTGTTTTGTAAGTCAATTTAATTTTTAAATTTTGCAGTTAGTATTTATAAAAATTGATTTTTTAATACATTAAATTAATATTGAATACGTTATAAGATCATTAAAAAAGAGATTAATTTTAAAATACATAAAAAATGACTTGTAGACATCTAATAATAAATCTCATAAAAGAAAATTAAGAAAATTAATAAGTTGGGTATGGCATTACTATTGTATGGTGTGATTGTAAATTAGTCTTTTATTTAAAATTACAAATTTTATAAAATTAAAAATCACAACTATATGAAATGAAGACTTAATTAGTAAAATGTATGTTTGAAAATGCTATATTTTGTTAAATAGCTCATTAAAAAAACACTTATATTAATAATTCGTAATTATTGTATTCTATATATCCATGCAACTTAATTACTAACACAATAAGGAGATCTAGTTTATAAGAAAAAAAAAATTAGAAAAAAAAAAAAAAGGCAGAAATACTACTCTATTACTCCATTGGTGTTAGAGAAATTTCGGAGCAAATGAACCTGCACCAGAAATGCGGAGCATCATCAGCTATACTGCAGCACCGCCAACTACAATATAGGCCGTGCAATTTTGGCTAACAAATGGTCACACAAGTCAGAAAAAATGGCCAACTCCCAACCGTCTCTTTACTTTCCATTTAATGTCTTTAATCACTCTTAGCCTACAAATAGCTTGTTCCATCACCGCTATTTGCATCAATTTTGAATCAAGAAATATTTCTAGTTTCTCCTCCTCTAAGTAAGTTTTTGAGGCTTGGGTCCCTCGGTTCCAAAATCTAGCTAGTGATTTTGAAGTGCTAGCGATATTCTTCTTTGAAATCTGCTTTTCAATTCTAAAAGTTAAGCAAACAATATCATCCGAAGTTCAATACTGTTGTAGTTGAATAACTTTGGCAATGTTATAATCCAATCCTTCGAGGTATCTGGCTATGGTCTGCTCTTCTTTGGCTCGAACATCACATTTCATCATCAACAAATTGCTGGAACTCCATGGTGTATTCTTCCACGATCATAGATTTTTACTACAAGTTATGAAATTTGATAAAATTTTCTTAGTAGCAATGGTTAAGTAAAAACTTACAAGTAAGCTCATGACACATTTTCTCCCAAGTTCTAATCTTATCATGGCCTTCTCTTTCTTGATATCATTTGAGATTCTCCCATCAAATGGATGCGTGCTTCTTTAATTTGATGATAATGAGCTTGACTCACTTGTCATCAAGAATATTCTTCAGCTCAAGTATATGCTCTATAGTGTGCAACCACTCATTAAATTCATTAAGTTGAAGGCAGCCTTTAAAATCAAGAATAGTAATTTTGATGCCAAGGTTGGTAGATTTGCAAGCGACATGTTATTGGGGGCGTCATCTACATACTCCTTTTGTTGAGGATGAACTTTCATCATCCCTCAAGTGTTGAGAGGGATTCTAGTCATTAGTACCTTTCTCTAACTTATTTAGTTCATCTTGGGGTTCTTCATAACTTGCAACAAAAATCAATGACCATGGAAGGATACACCACGGAGTTCAAGCAGTTGATCACGATATGTGATGTTTAAGAGAAAGATGAGCAAACCATAGTCAGATACCTTGAAAGATTGGATTATGACATTATCAAAGTTATTCAACTACAACAGTATTGGACTTTGGTTGATATCATTCAACTATAGTTCAGAAAGTTGAAAAGAAAATTTCAAAGAAGAATATTGCTACCACTTCAAAATCATGGGATTTAGAACCAACTGAAGGACCCAAGCCTCAAAATTGTTGCCAAGACCCCTGCTAAAACTAATGAGGAAGCTATTTCACGTCTTCCTACCCAACCTAACACTCAAAAGTGCTTCAAGTGCCAAGCATGTGTTCACATAGCCTCCGACTGTCCAAACCGAAGAGTTGTCACAGTTATCAGCAAAGAAATTCAAGAAGCCACAAAAGGAGAAGCAGAGAAAGAGCACAATGATGAAACTGAGTTGCCACTGCTTGAGGAAGAACTCATCACAGCTAACCACAAGGAAGCTTTGGTTGTGCGTAAAAGTGCACCAGAAATGCAAAGCATTGTTAGCTACTTTGTAGCATAGCTAACTACAACATAGGCCAGTGCAATTTTGTCTAACAAATGGCCACCCAAGTTAGAAAAAGTGGCATTCCCCTATTATGGCCCATTGGTGGCTACCGCAGCTCAACAGGGTTGCTGGTGGATTGCACCTCTGACCAGTGGTCGAACCTTACCAAGAGTAACGTACTAACCTAACTTCTAATTTTTAACCTCTAACC